GAGATCCGACGAATCAGTTATTGACACGCCTTCGCATTTTATCTCGTTAACAAAGGAACTTTTAGATTTTCTTGATGTAAGTTCATTTATAACTCCCCATGTTTTGCGCGGATTGCCTACACACTCATGAAAAGCCTCTTTGTAATATCTTTGTTTAGCCAATTTTATTTTCATTGTTCACACTATTACGACAGATTTTGAAAGCACGCCAATCGTTCGGATCATTTGAGCGAATTGCTTGAATCTTTAAAACATCTCTTCTGTGCATGCATTGTTTCAAATGAGCGATATTTTTTCCAAGATCTGTAGATGGAGTAGTTATCATGTTCCTGACAAATAGAATAATATCGTCCCACAAGCGATAAATTAAAACTGATATCGCCTCGTCCCTCGTATGATGTGTTTATTATACTTTTGCCTTCATCAGGGCCAGAATTTATTTGAATATTGATCATTGCCCCAATACAACAATTATTAAAATAGCGGGGGGACGATATTATCCTGGGGGACGATATAGGGTGGAACACTTTGCTAAACCTTCCACATGCATGCATGCCAATTACGAGCTTTTCTATATGACAAGTTATCATATAACAAGTTACATTTTATTGTGACAAGTACATTTATTCAAAAGCTATAGTATGCTAGCTTTTGAACAAGTGCACTTGTGTCAAAATTTTGTCAAAAGTCAAAATTTTGTTCGTCTGCGTGTCTAGAGCCCATTTTCCACTAGGCGAATTTGTTCGCGCGAACAGTAAAAAAGTAGGAACTAATCCAACTTTTTCGCGGCGATTTTTTTCGCTGACCAATCACATTGCCAAGATTTGTTTTTCGCATCGCTTCGCGCGAACGAATTCCCCAATTGGAAAATGCGCTTGGTCAACAAAGAAAATATGATTTTGAGCATTTCATGCGGTTGGTCAGCGATCTATTGTTACAATAGGTAATAATAGCTATCGTGGCGGTCAGAAAACCAAAAACCTGTCATAAAAAATGGATGTACACACGTACAATTGGCAAATAAAACTAATTACCATATGAAAACTTGTCACAATACAGAAAGCTTCCTCGTCTGTAATCGGCTTCAACCTCAAAAGCAGTGGGAGCAAAGGTAAGAAGTTGCCTGGGTACGAAATACGTGCGCGGGTGACAAGGCTACAGGAAAGTTTCAAGTTCAAATGCTGTAACTGTATATGTGTTCTTTATGACAAAAGTTAATATATTTTCATTTAGCGTCTACGAAATTTATAGAGTTTATGGATACTGTAATAATTTCTATAAGCAGAGCGTTAGATGACGCTTCTTTACTTAATGAACAAAATTTATGCATTTAGTTACTTTGCAACAATTGTTCCATAAAATAAGTAAATGGTTTAAAATTATCTCCAAAGATCTTAAGATAATCGTATGCTCCATCCATTCTCAAAGCTTTATTCAGTAGAAAGCTGAACGGCCAGCGATATCGAACATGACCATTAATAGAGGTATTTGACCATCCCATTCTTTCTGCTACAAATTTCCCAATCTCCCTATGTTCTCGTGGTTCACTGGTGAAGTGTTTTAGCAGTTGCAGCTTTGCTTCAGCACAGCTACAATGGCAAGAACATTCATACGCCTTTGATACGCGTCTCCAAAGTTTTGAAGGAATTTCGTAAAACATCTTTAATCCGTGATATCGTATTTCGCCTAAATGCGCATTTAAATTGAAGAAGTCGTATAAGAAAATTCTAAGATCAAGCAAAGGTTGGACAGATATACATGACAACTAGTGGAAAAGAAAAGATTGCTCGCCGTTAATACAGATTTTTTACAACGCTTGTAGCATCGACCGATCTTTTTATGTAGAATTTCCATTCCCGGTAGAAAATCATTGATATCTTTGCATTGAAACAATCTTGAAAAATCGAATTTTGAAACCATTTCCTTATCTGGAGTTTTGTAAAAGTAGTTGTAAATCAAATGATATTCCGCCTCGCGATCTGGATATTTTAGATATTTTACCGGATATTTTTTGGTCAGCTTCGCAAAGTTATCTTTTTGTAGAAATATTTCTCGCAGGTTTCCAGCGGCTTCCACACTGTCGTAGAGATAGGCTAAATATGAGGGTTCAATATTATGCTTATTAGAACATCTTAAAGAGTATCTATTTCTGACCGCCTGTAATTTCGTGTGAATATCGTGAAGCATTTCCATACCAAGTGAGGCAGCAATATGAAGTGGTGAAAGTTCAGTGGAATCTTTTTTGCACCATGATTGCAACATGGACGAACTATTGAGACTGGTCTTGAATGCTTTCTCAATCAATTTGTTGAAAACAGTTTCTCGTATATTTCGAATTATATTCGCTTTTGTAGGAAAATCATTTTCGGAATATCGATGACACAACGACGAATGATGTACGTGAAATATTGAGTAGAAATTATCAAGGATAACAGATTGGTCGATTTTAGCGTCTTTGTTTCCAAATCTTTCAGGAACTAAAAGGTATATTGCAAGATCAAGGCTACTCCATCCGGATTTTGTCTTTCTCCACATATCAACACCTAACTCTAGAAACCATTGAATGGCATCGATGTTCCCACCTTGAACTGCTCGATGGATAGGCAAATATCCTTCATCATCATAACATTCATCAAAAAATCTGAAACGTTTTGGATGGTGGCCGACAAGCCTTTGCAATGGGAAGGAATGATTGTTGTACGATGGCTTGAAAAAGTTTCCAATTTCAGATGGCATTCCCAAATAAGCCATTGGATGTATCTCGGATTCAGAAAAAGGTGCACCGCAACTTTCACTTACATTTATTTGAAACATTTTGAAAACTTCGTTCATCGCACCAATATCATATCCTGAAAGGTGTGATTTTTTTAAGTGTGTTTTTAAACCACCACCGCAATTTACTTTGACACCTTTTTCAAATAAACTGTACACGCTCAAGTGTAAGTTTTTCAATACTAAAAAATTCAAAATAGCCTTTGTTTGTTCGTTACACTTATTAAGTGATGTATTGTGTAACCTGACAAGGTAGCTTACTGCATGATCAAAAACTGTGCTCTCGCAGGATTGAACTAAATAATTATCTTTGTTTGCTTTTTGAAAGTTGAACATACGGACAAAACTTAGACGGAAGACTGATTCAGAAGCTAGCCTTGCAGCTCCTAGTGCCATAATCAATGGTGTGGATCCATTTTTATCTTTAATTCTCCAGTCACTTCCTTCACGTACTAAATGTCTGACTGCACCAACAAACCCAGTCATTGCTGCGTAGTGAAGAGCCGTCCTTCCATCAGCATCTTTAGTGTCAATGTTCCGTTCGAATTTTGTCAATAATTTGATCACTTTTAATCTTTTTCCGTATTCTCTTTTTAATATTTTTTCAGGAAAACAACCCATGCTTCTAACAAGACTATAATGGCAATAATGATTGTTCAATATGTCTGTGCATGAGAATATTTCGCTTAATCTCCCAGCGCCGTCTGGATATCCTGGATATGGTGACCAACTTGTAGCTAGATGAAGCAATGTTCTTTCCTTGTTGTAGTTCTCTGAAAAACTGTTATTATTGTTTTCACTGTAAAGCAGCCGCAGAGTTTCTATGGATCCGCATGCCACTATTTTTCGCAGCGTTTGTTTTTTGCCTAACACATACGACAATACTACGTTTTCTAACGGATAAGTCGTACGAAAGTTTCTTATATAGTCAGCATTGTCATGAATTGCAGCGTGGTCTATGATACTTAAAGCGAAATTGTCTAATGCAATCACATTAGCATTCCAAGTGGAAACCAAGTACTCTGTCATTTCCCATAATCCTTGGCGTGCACAAAGGTGAATAATACCCATCCCATTATAACATACAGGCCTGTCGCAGTAGCTTGTATATAAAAACTTTTTCTCGTTAGTATATTCATAAAATCCCCTGTAAAAGCATTCATACCTAAGTCCCAGCTTAGAAGGCATTTCATTTGTACACTGTACATTAACATCTGCACCGTAAGTCAACAAAAGCTCCACCATGTTTTTATCATTCCTCTCAACAGCATCCATTAATGGCGTTTTTCCCGAATAATGTTTACATTCAAGTGATTCATTACCATAATGCAACAGTAACATCACAATTTGAATGTAACCTCTTGACACCGCTGCATATAATACTGTTTCACAAAAGCACAGATGAGTCTGATTAACACTTATGTTTCGACTGGTGTAACAGGATGAAATATTTCCAGGTTTACAATGCAAACATGTATCTTGCGCATTCCCAATCTTCAATAAATATTCGACGATATGAGTATGATTTCTTGCTGCAGCATGATGTAGTGCAACGTTGTCGGCCTTGGCTCCATGACTAATTAATATCTCAACAAGTTCCGTATGGCCATGTTTTGCTGCTACGTGAACAGGATTTTGCCCGAACCTATTCTCTTCGTCAAATTTTGCTCCATTATTTAATAAAATTTGGGCCATTTCTGTGTTGCCTGTTTCCGCAGTAATAAAAGCCAGACTTTTCTCCCTACTCGGATAGTCTATACCAGTTGGTGATCCTGATACTCCGCACATATCATTAACATAATTCACGTTGGCCCCACTTGTAATTAAAAGTTCTAAATTATCAATGTTTTCTTCTTGGGCAGCATAGAATGATGGTGGACAACCAGTTTCGTCGTTAATATCGACTGATTCAAACTCCTTTATATACACCTCCAAGATTCTGGTGCTCCTTTTAACTTTAGCTAACTCATGCAAAATGGTCCTGTTCATATTAGCGCTCAGTATTTGGGAAACATTAAATGTTAACATTTTGTCTACATGCTCTTTAATCATTCCTTCATACAATATGTGCATAGATAGTTCAGAAAAATGTTTCAAACTTGGCTTGGCAAACTTGTTATTCACATTATCGAACTGGTTGAGAAGATATTCAGCTATCAAACGATGGCCCCTTGACTTCTGAATGAAAAGACCTTTAATGCCTTCAGTTTTGTTCTTTAGCCACTCATTAAAAGAATGATGAAAGAAACGTACTGTTCCATCGTTGCTGTGTATTAGATACGGTGAAATTTGTTTTATGACCTTTTTAACATAACTGGATGCGTCAAGAACATTGCTTTGAAAGTGCAAAATGTTTTGAAGCTCATTTATTTTCAGTGGAGTGCCAGAAGCTAAAAGAACTTCAAGCATTGGCTGCATTTGTTCAAAGTCGCGTACTTTATATCGCTCTCTAAACGACAACGCGTACAATCGTCCAAGAGTACCAGTTGGAGACACATTCTTCTTATACAAACTCTCCGGATTTTCTTTAAAGAATTCGATTATTGTTTTGATGAATAGGAAATTACCTTGGGTCTGCCGAGATAATATATCAATAGAATGGTTTAATCCGGTTTCTTTTAAAATAAGTTCGGGGTTGGATTTTAAGAAGTTTTTTATAAAAGTGCGAACGTCCAGCAAGTTACGTTCGTCTGTTGAGAGGATGTGTAATGTTGATACATCAATTTCTGACAGTTTTCCAGTAACGGTAGTTATATTTCTGGAGCTAAATATAAATTTAATCCAATTCGGAAGATTAGTTCCTTTGCTGTGAAGAATCTGAAGTATTGGGGAATCGTGACTGTCGTCGCTTATTTCACGGCATTCATCTAAAGCATCGATAACAATAAAAGCAATTGTTGGTGGTTTCCTTAGATTTTGTACGGGTTCTAACAAAGCCATTTTGAAACATGAATGTGGATAGTTCTCGCATTTTTCCAGTTCCTTTTCTATTGACTTATCATTCCGTAGAATTCCTGCCATTTCTGGTATCTTTTGTGCAAACAAAAAGATTATTTTCTTCACCAACAGTCCAACACTACGAGTTTCTTTTTCGTCAAATTTGCAAAAATGATAAGCAATGATGTTTCTATGAATAAAAGGACTTGATTCGGGTGTGATTATAAGTTGTCTTATTATTGAGGATTTACCCAATCCAGGCTCGCCAACGATAAGTATACCAAGGTTATTGCGAGAACTGTTAATACGGTCTTCTAACTCTTGAAAAAGCCAGTGACGACCAAAAAAAGTTGAATCATTAACATTTGGCAAATAAATTGTAGGTAAATGCTTGAAGCCGTTTTCTCGGTCGGTCCGAGAATTGGTAAAATACCAAAACATTAAAGCATTAGCTACGATTAAAGAGATCAGTAGTAGCACAACACAAAAAAAACAACGTTTGTTTGTGGCTTGGTTTGTCGCCTGCCCGTCTAAAATGTTTTTCAATCCAACCTCAATCTTGTCCTCGTTTTCTTTCCATTCTTTTAATTTTCCAACGAATAAATCTTCTTCAAGAGGCGCTGTCTTCAAGTGCTGTAAGTCACTAACGTCCATCCCAAGTCTAACTAAAGCGTCAGAGATTTCCGTCCAATATTGCTCAAATTCTTTATTACAAAGGGAGGTTGCAGTGACATGGCCATACATTTTATTTCTATAAAATTTTATTCTTGCGAGATCAGCCTCCATGCTTTTATCACTTGATGGCGGTTCTTTATCCCAAGATGTAGTAGACGGTGGAAGTGAAAGACTGCATATATTGCGAAGTAGCACAAATAACAAAGTAATGTCATAATCCTGAGAAGACGATGGATTACCACTAGGAGGATAAAGAATATATAGTTGTGCAGTGTTGAGTTTAGGAATCATTTTCTTCATTTTCTTACGGCCACCATAATAGTTCAGCGTCGAATTCCAAGTTGTTGGAAGATGAATTCTGTCAAATACCTTTCGCACTGCTTCCGTTCCTTTATCAATAAGCAAACGGCATAATCTTGATCCATTTGCCTTTTGGCGATCAGTGGATTCCATCTTGTGGAAAATTCGATTCAATTGGGGTTTTTATTCAAATCTATGGCATAAAAAAGAAAACAATACATGATTAACTAATTATCTGTCATTTCGTCCAACTTTTGTCATTATATTGTATCCTAGACTTTATAAATTCTATACGCTGCGATGAAGTTGCTAGAAGTGCCGTATCGTATAGCAAAATTCAATAACCATTGACCACAGTTGTGCCAATATATAGTAGACTACATTAGTGGTCATGACAAAGCATGTCAATTTTATTTATGAAATATGCAAGGGTGGGTTGACTACAAACTTTTTGTAGTTCGCTATAACTACAGCTACTTCAAAAATATGTAGTCAGCTACAACTACAGCTAATTTTGAACAAAAGTAGTTCGCTACTGACTACAGATACTGCTTAAAAAATGTAGCGAACTATTTCGCTATTTCGCTACTCAATATTTTTTAACTTTACTATATTTGGAACATCTATTATAGCTCAGGCTGTAATGTATAACCTATAACAAATCGACTTACGCGAGTAGGCTAAATAAGACGGCATGCACTTGCACAGATTGAACAGTTCCACGGCATACTTTATTCGTAAAGCAAACTGTGTCTTAATAACATTCTATTCTATCAAGTTGCTAACAGTTTTAAAAAGTAGCGAATAGCGATTTGCTGTTTGAAAAGTAGTCAACTACTTGGCTACTTTTAGGCAAAATGTAGTTCGCTATAACTACCGGGTGTCCCAAAAAAAAGTACTCCGGTTTGATTTATTATAACTTCTAAACAAGTAAAGCTATCAAACAGAAATAACTTGCATTAAATAGAGGAAGGATTAACTTAGATTTTGATATATTACAGTTGTATTTTGCTTAGAAATTCACGGAGATATTAATGTTCAAAATCAGGAGCATATTTTGGGATGTGTCTAAAATTAGCGAAAATCGGCATATTAAATATTAACTCCAGCGTTTGTTCGCTTAGTGACATATCAGGCTAACTTGCTTTTCAGCGAATTGTCGTTGGGGTTTGTGATGGATATATGGCGTAGATTTAGATATCTTACATGCAAGTTTTAGCTGATTGTTTCCTGAAATATGAACGTTCGAAATTATGCAAGTACTTAATAGGTCTTTACAAACTTAAAGGCACATGAAAGACCATGCAAGACAGGCGCTTAAATTTTTCTTAAATAGGCTAATTTTTTTTATGTTTTTCATGGGTTCAAAACAGAGTTGATTATTTCTCAGTTAGAGCAGGATGAATATCATTCTTTAATGAAGGAAATAATATTGCTTTTTGCAAAGAC